CACCTTACTACATTGTGAAAGTGTTTGGCCAAGCCGAATTCATTTACTTCTGTAAATAGAAGCTACATATTCTCAATGGGGTATTGATGGGAGGTTTCTAAAAACAGGATGAGTACTGTTTAACTGGGCATATAGTCATGCTATAAAAAAGACAGACAATGCATCCACATTCAATCATATACATTTGCTTTGATTTCCCCCCCAATACTGTATCAGATGTAGGCTTGATCTTTATTTGGAGTTCCTCAGAACACCTTAACCTCCTTGTACAAGTTAGCTATAGTATACACCAGGTTCTTTTGAAGTGTTTTGAAGTGTTCCAGATAAAAAAAGTTTCCGGTTTATTCTGGAAGGCCTCTAAAGGAGGAACCATGCTGCTGAGAAACTAGCCCCATCCTATTTCTCTGACAAGGGGCTCCCACAGTAAGAATTCCTTGGCTGACTTCAGAATGGGTATGTGTTGGTGGAGGGGATTCACTAAGTATCTTGAACCTAAAACATTTAAGGCCTTAAACATCAGCACTTTGTACTGGGCCCAGTGTAATTGGCACAATATGGGGATATGTCCCTGGAAGCACCCTGGCTGCCACATTCTGAAACAGGAGACCAACCTGTGCTTGTCTGACTGTGAAAGTATGGTGCATCTATTCTAGGGTTGCCAAGTGTGAATTCAGCCGCAGCGAGGGACTCCCGGTTGGCGGCTGGAGCACGCCTGCATCCACATTGCCCGGAAGGGATGCGGGCACGCCGGGCATGCTCGGGGCGGGGCACGACCATCCGAGGGAAAACCATAGAATTTTCCCTTGGATGACCGTGGCCCCGCCCCCAGTGTGCCCGGCATGCCCGCGTCACTTCCAGGCAACGTGCACGTCGGGGTGGAATTCCCCCCAGGGCCTGATCTTCCGCCAGTGGGGAACGGGCCTCTGGGGCGGGGTTTTCCCCGCCCCCTGGGGGGATTTGCAAGCCTAATCTATTCCAGGAAAGGCAACAGCTGGCAAACCAATGTAAGATGGAAAAATCCTTTTGTTATCTGGACATGCAAAGTAAAGGAGGCATCCAAGAGTATATCCAAACTTGCCTCTTGAGGGGAATATAGCCCCACCTAGTGCAAATGGAACACCTATTCCCAATCAAGCTTTAAAGGTCCGCTTTCATGTGGTCTCTTACAGCATTCAATCTAGGGATGTATGCTTGAATAAAACTGAGCTAAACATATATCTGAAAAATACCTTATCGGTATTTTTGGATGTAATCCTCCCCGCTCATGTGTCTGTGTGTCTCAGGACTTGGTATCAGCTTGCCAGGCTGCTTTAGTTAAGATTCTGTAAGTTTTGAGTGGTTTTGTTGTTGTTTTTTAAACATTCTTTGCTAGACGGTTTGTGTTGGGGATTGCAGGGTTTCCCCCCACACACACACATTTTACATTGAAATTCTTGTGTTTTACATGGCGGGGGGGGGGGGAGGGCTTCAGGATTGGGGTTTCAGCTTCCAGCCCTTAAAGGGGTGCCATTAACACCAGTGCACTCTGTGGTCATCTTGGGTGTGACCTTGGATGCTTCCCTGTCTGTGGAGACACAGGTCACCAATACTGCCAGACTGGCATTTTACCATCTGTGCCAAGCACGGCTGCTGGCCCCTTTCCTGTCACCTCAACCTGGCCACAGTAATCCATGCAATGGTCATCTCCAAACTGGACTACCGTAACTCACTCTGTGCTGCCTGGCCTACCCTTGAGACTGACCCGGACGCTCCAACTGGTCCAGAATGCAGTGGCATGTGTCCTGGCAGGAACATCGTGGACAGCACATATACAGCCTGTGCTGCACCAGCTACACTGGTTACTGGTGGGATACCAAGTCAGGTTCAAGGTATTAGGGCTGACATTTAAGGCCTTAAGCAGTCAGGGACTCACGTGCCTTCAGGACCGCCTCCTCCAATATGTCCCCAGAAGAATGCTGCAATCAGCTGATAACAACTTGCTGGTGATCCCTGGCCCTAGGGAGGTCCAGCTGTCCTTGACTAGGGGGGGGGCAGGCCTTTTTGGCCCTGGCCCCAGCCTGGTGGAACTCTCTGCTGAACAACATCAGGGCCCTGCAGGATCTTATACAATTCCACAGGGCCTGTAAGGCAGAGATGTTCTGCCAGGCTTTTAGTTGATGGTAGCAACAGTTAAGACCGGCACCCTCCTTTTCTTCCTATGGTCCCCACGTCCCCTTCCCTGCCCAGCTGCGCAGAGAGCACTGCAACCAGCAAAAGGGGTTGATATTGCCATCTGAATTGGTTGTTTTACTAGTGTATTGTGACAATTTTGTTATGCTGACTATATTTTATTTGTTTTTAAGGTTGTAAGTTACCCAAAGCCTGCTTGTGGGGTTGGGCAATTCATAAATCTAATAAAATAAATAAAAAGAGCTGTGATGCAGAGGCTGAACTTCTTTGGGTTCCGCATATTATTATGAGCTGACATATGTGCATGAGCTGACATGCTAATGTAGTAAGATAGTCACTAAGGTGCTCTGTTATGTGCACAAACGGCAATTTGCCATGACTTTACAGACACCCCAAAGTAGGTTTTTGTGTAAAAATGTGCATTTTGAAAATGTCTTGTTCATTAACTTTGGAAGGATAACTAACTTGAATGAATGAAAATATTTTTTATGATGGGACAATGTCTTCGCTTTTGTGGGTCTGTGGGCATGTTTGGAAGGCCGGGTAAGAGCTCTTCTAGAACTGAAAAAAGGCAGATGCCCAGGATCTCCTCCTTCTTTTGGCAATAGGCAACCCACTTTCCCTGTAGATTGAAGGACAGAGGTGTAAGTGTCCCCCCTATAGAAAAAGGCTTAGGAGGCATACATATAGATCATTAATGATGATCAGTTAATCTCTGTAAATGCAAGCTACTTATTGAGATTCTGAGATCTCCTGAACATGTTAAATTGTAGTGTAAACAAGCAACTGTGGGGGAACATGATATGCTTGAGCCCTTTTATTAATGAGTAAAGCAGCAAGGGGGGTATTTTTTTAATAAAAGCTGAGTTACAAGTAAGTAAAGACAAACCCTGCTTGCTCCCACCTGTTATTTCATTGTATGTTTGGTTGACTGAAGGGGTTTTTTAATTCTTCCAGTTTGATTGGCAAATGAGAATTTGAATTGCATTTAGAATGTCTGAAAATGGTATGGGGGAAAGCAGTCCTTGGACGAGGACTACCGTCTCTGAGAATGTCATCCCAATTGATTGAGAGAGAAAAATGTTACAAACAGGAATATGTTTCCCATTGAAATGAAAGGGAATGTCACCCAAATACAATAAAGACTTGAAATATGTGTTACCAGGGGTCGTTTCATAGAAAAAGAGTTAGGGGAACTCATTAGCATAATTCATTAGCATACGCCACACCCCCTGCCATCACCGGAAGTGTGTCTTAAGGCCACACCCCCTGCCATCACCGGAAGTGTGTCATAAGGCCACACCCACCACTCAGTTATAAGCCCTGGCGAGGAAGCCCCGCAAAGGGCCCCCCGCCCCCAACGGTCCCAGCCGCCACCGCTGGCCTTGCAGCTCCACTGCCGACCCCCATGAGGGGCCCGACGGTGGACCTGCAAGGCCGGCGGGAGTGCGAGGAAGCCCCACAAAGGCCCCCCACCCCCAACGGTCCCGGCCGCCGGTGGCGGCCTTGCAGCTCCACAGCCGAGCCCCATCAGGGGCCT